AACAAGCCGGGTATTAGTTTTTAAACATCTTTGTTTTTTTTTAATGACACTGATAAGGATAAGAAAACTTTATGCCAAACTAACTCAGGGTGCCTTGTTGTACCATATTTTGCTACCTGTATTGTTTTTACTTTTTTTGTTTTTGGTTTTTTGAGACAGGGTTTTGCTATGTAGCCCAGGCTGGCCTTGAACTTGTGAAAGCGATCCTCCTGCCTCAGCCTCCCGAGTGCTGGGATTACAGGTGCGTGTCACCACACCCAGCTTGGTATCTGTACTCCAAAAATGCACAAATTAGGTTTTTGGGAAGTAAACTCCTACTTCCTAGATTTCCTGTCACTTTCTGGCAGCTCTGAGCTTTGGAGCACTCTCTGCAGTTTCCTCTGATGCTTCTGACAGCATTTCTTCTTGTTCGGAGCAGTGGGCGGTGCGGGGTGAGCATAGCGGCACTGAGGAGGGTGATAAAAGCTCTTTTCTATCACAGTCCCACAGAAAGCCTCAGGTGCTCTCATAAAGGTGAAGGTTTTCGAGGATTTTCTTGTTGTGGTTCCTCTTCCCGATGCTCTCACTGGTGTCACTGCAAGTGGCTTCTCTACAGAGACCCCTGCTTCAGTTCCGTGCCTTGCACCGAATCCAGCAGGGCTGCTCTCTCCGGGACCATGACAGCCACTGTTCTCTCTGCCTGGGACTTGAGGGTTGATTTCCACGGATGGATTCTCCATTCACAATACCAACGAAGACTCCACAAATGTCAGCAGGACTCCTGATCGTAGGAGTTCATGGGCCGAATGGCCACTGCCAAACTTTCTTTTATGTTTGGTTTCGTTCTTTTCATTGATTTGTTGTTGTTGTTGCTGTTTTGTTTTGTTTTCTGAGACAGGATCTCACTACGTAGTGCAGGCTGGCCTTGAACTCATGGTGATCCTCCTGCCTCAGCCTTTTCAGTGCTAGGATTCCAGGTGTGTGCCACCACCATCCCTGGCTTGTTTTGTTTTGTTTTTGTTTTTGAGGCAGGATCTCACTGTGTGGTTCAGGCTGGCTCCTAATTCATGGAGATCCTCCTGCCTCAGCCACCTGAATGCTGGAATTACACACATGTGCCACCACGGCTGGATTCTTTTGACTGAAGTTTTTTTTAATGTTTTTCAATTTTTTTTCCTTCTGGTACTAGGAATTGAACTCGCGACCTTGCACTTGCCAGGCAGGTGCTGTGCCACTGAACTAAATCCCCAGCCCCTCTTTTTTTTCTTTTTAAGACAGACTCTCACTATGTAGCCCAGGCTGGCCTTGAACTCACAACTGATCCTCCTGCCTCAGTCTCCCTCAGCCTCTGGAGTATCGGGATTACAGACGTGTGGTGCCACACCCAGCTCAAAGTCCTTTTAATTTCTTTCCTTATGTCAACACTATCACCTCAGCATCACTCATACTCTGCAAATCTGTCAATTCAACTCTGCATTTAAATTTTTTCACTACTTTTTAAAAACCATCAAAAAAAAAAAAGTAAAAACGGTCAATTGTTTTCCTCCTGTGCTCTCTGGGACGCTCAGCTAAACCTACAGCCTGCTTCCCCCAGCACTTTGCAAGCCAGCAGTCCCCAGCAGGACAGTGACTTCCCAGTGTGCACGAGATCTCCTGGCTTTGGGGCAAAGGGGCCAAAGGGCACCGAGATACTGTCAGAGGTTTATCCGGAGGTGCCACGCCTTTCCAGAGCATCACAGTCCTATCTGCCTTCTTCCTGTAATCTCGGTACCCTGGAGGCTGAGCTACAAGGACTGAAAATTCAAGTCCAGCCAGGACAACTTAGGGAGACCCTTTCCCTGTTTCTCTTGTCCAGGCAGCCCACAGCCCCATCCCACACAGTGGGGCCACAGAGCCCCCCCCAGTGGCCACGCCTCCACTGCAGGCTCAGCTTGAATGACTACTGGCTTTGCACACAATAGGTGCTCCAAAAATCCATACTTGCTCAGCTCCTGGGAAGGCTGAGGCAGGAAAATCATTTGAGAACAGCTGTTTGAGGCAAGCCCGAGCAACATGGTAAAAAAAAAAAAAGCATATATTTGCGGAACAGATGGATAATATAGAACATCTTGAAATTTTCCTCCAAACATTGCTAATTAGTTCTCCACTACATCAAAAATGATACAAATAGGGCTGGGGATTTAGCTCAGCGGCACAGCGCCTGCCTGGCAAGTGGAAGGTCGTGAGTTCGATTTCCAGTACTGGAAAAAAAGAAAAAACAAAAAATACAAAAAAAGTTTGTCATGTGATACATCTATGTAGATATATACATATATAGTTTTACTTTTGAGTATTATTTTGGCATCTTTTTACTCATTTACCCAATGTTTTCGAACAAAGTTTAAATTTCACTTAATTTTTGTGGTATTGAGGCTGAGGCAGGAGGATCCTCGTGAGTTTGAGACTAACCTGGGGTACAAAGTGAGCTCAAGTCCAGCCCAAACTGCATAGGGAGACCCTGTCTCAAAAAGACAAAAAAAATTTTTTGTGCCTGTGGTACAAGGGATTGAACCCAGGGCTTTTGTGCTAAGCTACATTCCCAGCCCTTTTTATTTTTTATTTTGAGGCAGGTCCTGTAAGTTGATAAATTGCCCCAGGTGGGCTCGCTCAAACTTGTGACCCATCTGTCTCACCTGGTCGGTAATCTTAGGACTCTGGGAGCCTGAGTCAGGTAGGTCACAAGTTCTAGACCAGCCTGGACAATTTACCAACTTTACAAGTCCTGTTTCAAAACAAAACAAAAAAATTTTTAAATGTCCTGGAGGTATAGCTCTGTGCAAAGGCCCTGAGTTCAATCCCCAGTAACACACACACACACACACACACACACACACACACACAGGTTTTCACTCCCTCCCTCCCCAAAGATGAATAGTAGAAACAATGAAAGAAAAATAATTCACACAAAGTACAAAGCTAGGTGGGGCATAGTGGCACATGCCTGTTTACCCTGCATGCAGGAGGCTGAGGCAGGAGGACTGCTGTGAGTTTGAGGCTATAAAGTGAGTTCAAGGCCAGCTTGAACTGCACAGTGAAACCCTGTCTCCAGAGACAGAAAAATGTACAAAGTTAAATCAGGACTAAACTGCAGGAATCCGTGTTTCTTTTGGGCCAAGTGTACATGGAAAGCAACGGATACTCCGAGGCAGAAAGCACTCCCTTCTGTCTTCCTCATCACCGTGCATCAATGCAGCTAGTGAGAGCGACAAAGAGAAGCTCCACAGTGAGACCTGCACCGGGGGAGCTAATGCAAAAATGGGTGGCAGCGCCAAGCGGGTTGGGTCGAAGTATCTGTATCCTTACCACGCTCAGGACATGATGCTAGCCGGCTTGGGAGACGATAAGTTATAAGTACCAAGTGTCCTGTTTCCGATATCAAGGAACTAGCCAATTTTTACCCTGACACTGAAGTAAAAGTTAACCTTATTGAACAGTTTTCTGGATCTTTTATTATTCAAATACCATCTGGTCAAGATCTTTGTTTTGCTCCGCTTCCAGTTGCTAAGGATGACCCAAGCTTGGCTCTGGGAACCGTCTCCATTCTGGTTCAGCAAGTCCAGGCAGGTCCTGCCCCGAGGGCTTCTGGGCCACAGTCCTCTACTAACCATCCACTCCAAGTTCCTAAGCATTTCCCTTGGCTGGGATCAGTCACTCAGATCAGGTTAGCAACCCAACGGGGCAGGGGCAGAGCTGAAAAAATGGGGGAGGCTGTCCTGAGGCAAAAATGGGCGACTGCAGAGCACCTTCTTAGCACGAGAAACACAGTGCCACAGTGAAGCCCTCTTAGACCCGCTCTCCAAGAGGCTGTGCGCTGCTCCAGAGCTGCGTAGGCGGGCAGCGACGTATGGAAAGGCAGGAGAACACCTTATAAACTGTTAAGAACACGCGAATGGTTGCTGAGAGAGGACTGGGCAAGATTGTGCGAGGGTCATTATGCTCTGCACAAGGAACCTTGGCCTTCTTAGGAGGAATTCCATAAAGTAATGTGTAATACTTCTACCCCTGCAGCCAGTTATAATCCAATTAGCGAGTCAAGAGATCATAAGGTCAGTGTCAAAACACAATATAAAGTAGTGTGATGTTTATATATATATTTGTTTGTTTTTCCGGTACGGGGAATTGAACTCACGATCTTGGGCTTGCCACACAGGAGCTGTGCCACTGAGCTAAATCCTCAGCCCCTATATATATATATTTTTTTGAGATAGGGTCTTGCTATATAGTCCAGGCCGGCCTTGAACTCTCTAGGTAGCCCAGGCTGGCCTCGAACTTGCAGTGATCCTCCTGCCTCAGCCTCCTCTGAGTGCTGGGATGACAGTCTTGCACCCAGCTGAGTATATGTTAGAGAAGTGAAAGAGACAAGAACAATGAGAATTTAGGGGAAAGGAGAGAGAGAGTAGCGGAAGCTGGACAATGCAGTTTGGAAGGGCGTTTTGAGTAGTGTTCAAAGACGGGCTGTGCCGGGTGTGGTGGTGCACGCTTGTAATCCCAGCACTTGGGAGGCTGAGGCTGGAGGATCGCTGCGAGTTCAAGACCAGCCTGGGCTACAGAGGCCAGCCTGAACTGCATCGCGAGACCCTGTCTCAAAAAGACCATAAAACAAACAAAGAAAGAAACCCCCCAAAACAAAGAGCTAGGTAGTAAGTGAACAGGCCAAATATGCATGGGTCAGAGGCTGGCTGGAGTTGGTAAAGTTTATTGCATTGGTCATGTAAGAAGCAAGGTCAGGCTGGAGGTGGTGCTGCACAGCTGTAATCCTAGCTGCTTAGGAGGCTGAGGCATGAGGATTGTAAATTTGAGGCCAGCATGAGAAACCTTAGCAAAAATTTATCTCAGAAATAAAGAGAGGAAGAAAGAAAGGAAGGCAGGCTGAGGATGTAGCTCAGTGGAAAGGCCCTAAGTTCAATGTTTGCTTTTTTTTTTTTTTTTTTTTGCTGGAGACTGATATGTAAATAGACCAGAGACAAAAGATTGGAGGAGGCAGGAAAACCAGTTGGGAGGCCATGGGGAGAATTCTGAGATAAGGTCCTGTTGTGGAGTGTGAAAGGAGGTATGTGTCTGAGGGGCGCTAGAAGAACCCACCCACTCCCCACGGAGGGCTGTGGAGCAGAGGAGGGGGGTGACTCAGTAGGAAGGTTGTGGAGGGAGGGTCTGGAACAGACTTCTGGTGGGAAGGGTTTGCAAATGGAGACAAAGATCTACATATCAGCAGTATCTTACTCCAAACTGATTATCCTATCCAAACCTCGGAGTTTCAGCAGAGATAAGGGGGAAAAAGGGTGTGTGTGTGTGTGTGTGTGTGTGTGTGTGTGTGTAATAGCTCAATGGTAAAGTGCTTGCCTAGATGAGCGAGACCCTGGGTTCATTCCCCAGTACAGCAAAAATAAACAATGACAAAAAACAATTCTGCATCCTGAGCTGGGCTCACCCTGGTTCTCACCCACTCTTTCCAGGGGTCACTGTGTGTTTGAAGTCACCTAGTGAGCAGGCAGAGGTGCTGAGGCTTGGCTCAGATGCTGGGTAGCTGGACTTTTAGCTCCCTCGGCTTATTTTATGGCCTCTTTGTCTATGTGCTTTCTCCAGCGAGGTAGCTTTCTTACCTAGCAGCTCAGATCTTCCCGAAGTAGAAAACTGCAAACTTCTTTGCTGTAGGGCACAGGGGAGAGGTGCGGGGAGAGGAACACACAGCTTTACTGCTGCCTCTGGTTAAAGTAAGTCACTGGCCCATGGGAGGTTTACAGGAAAGGACTCAGTAAGGGTGGAATAAAAGGAGGCTGGCCCACCGAGGCGCAGCAAGTGTGTAAATGAGTCAGCTGTGACTTAGTGAGGCTAAATTCCTTGCTCATTGTAGAGGGTAGAACTCTTAACAGCACCAGGCCCTTCAAAGTTTACATTTTAAGTCCTGGGGCAACAGGTAAAATTTGTAGTGTTTCAACTTAAAAAATCTTGTGAGGTAGGTACTGTTATTTTTTTTTTTTTTTTTTGTCTGAGACAGGGTCTTACTATGCAGTTCAGGCTGGCCTTGAGCTCACTTTGTAGCCCAGGCTGGTCTTGAACTCTCTTTGATCCTCCTGCCTCAGCCTCCCGAGAGCTGGGATTATAGGCGTGCGCCACCATGCCCGGTGGTAGGTCCTATTATTGTCCCTAATTTACAAAGGAGGAAACCCAGAAATAGAGAGTTTAAATATCTTACCCAAGGTGACTCAGGCTTGCTTTAGAAATTACACACTTACTTAACCATATGAGCAACATGATATATATATATATATTAAAAAAAACCCTGTAAATGTGATTTAACCTGAAACTATTCTTTTTGGGAGGGCTGGAAGGACAGCAAATATTATGGGACCATCTACTATTTTATATATACGATGCATGTGTAAGAATTTACCTTGAACAGGGTCTCCCTGTGTTGTGCATGCTGGTCTGGAACTCCTGGGCTCACCTCACTCTCCTAGGTAGGTGGGCCTACGGTTTGAATTACCATTGTCTTATAGGCTGCTCGGGAACTTGGAGGTTTTGAGTTAGCCTGTGATCAGGGTAATTTCCACTTGAGACATCTGTTCCTCCCGCCCTCCCACTCCATTCTCACCTGCCCTTTGAGGGAAGGACCTTTTTTGTGGGGCGGGGGTGGGGTGGCTTTCGGGAGCAGGGCTGATTCCATCCTTTAATCATCACATCAGCCCTCCAGCTTCTGAATTAGTAACCTTGGTCCCATTCACTTCCTAGTTCCGTAGCTGGTTTCCTCACTGCTGTCATTGCCACTGCGATGCTTCCGAGGACAGCTTGCAAAGCCTGTGCTTCCCGTGAAGTGACGTGTAGTGGCTTTGCCCTCCCTTTGCCAAGCCTGTGGGCAGAGAACTGCATGGGAAACACCGGATTCCAGAGGCTTTTGAAAGGAACCAAGCTCTGAACGCGATTGTTGAAGCTTCATCTGTGAAGGGGCGCCCCGAGCTGTCTTGGTCTGTCCTGACCTCTCTCAGCCGGAGTCTGGAATCAGCTTATCAAGTAGCTTGCTCTGGAGTAGGATGCAGCCATTCAAGAGTGGTCTCAAAATTCTCCTACCTTCCCCAAGGCAGAATTGTGGAGTGGCCTTGTCGTTCCTTAAACTCGTCTCCTTAAACTCGAGTTTTTAATTTTGACTTTTTCTCATCCTTACCAAATGTTGGAGCACAATACTTGTCGTTAATACTCTATTAAACAGTTACACAGCTGGCCGTGTGCTTCACATATATTGCCTCATTTGGTTTATTTAATACACTGCTGTTTGGATCAATGGTGGGCGAAGGGCATCCAGGAAAGCGACTTACCTTCAGCCACCCTTTTTCAGCCCACCCTACTCCCAAGTGGCCAGGGGCTGGAGGAGAGAAGGGATCGAGCTGCTCCACAAGGCAAGGCCGCCTCCCACTTTCCGCAGCTGTCTTGCCAGGGCTGACCTTTTCCCTTAGGCAAGGGTCTCCACCCCTCGCCCAGATCCAGTCGGTGAGGGTGGGTGGCTTTTTCCGGGTCACTGGCGCACCCTCGACTCGACTCCCAGCCACCTGCTCGGGTTCTAGCCCAGCTCCAGGCTCCCCGGAGGGCGTCAGGGACATTCCAATCCTCCCACGATCCGCGCGGATGTCGCGGGGGAGGGGGGCGCAATCGCGCTTTCCTGCCAGCGCCCAGGTTTGACCCGGTTTCTCCTCCACCCCAGGTGGCTTAAGTCACCTCGAAGAAGAAACTACGGATTGGAGATTGGTGGATGGGGCGAAGGTTGTTTGTTTACAGCCCACCGGGCTGGCAAAGCCGCGTCCCCAGCGATAGAGGCACTTTCTGGGCACAGTCCGCGCTCTCGCAGACAATTGAAAGCCAAGCGGCCAAGATGCCTCCTCACCAGACCAAATATGGTCACAAGCGCTAAGCAGCCTCCCGCGGAGCGGCGGCCTTCGCGGTGTCTCCCCGCGCCGGGCGCCCCGGGCCGACCTCCGGCACGAGCGCGGGTCAGGGCGGCGAAACCCGCGCTCCGAGGCTCGCGCCAGCTCGAGCGGGGGCGCAGCGGCCGGGGCCGACTCTGCCCCGGCCTCCGCCCTCACCCGCGTGCCCGCCGCCACTCTCGGCCGGGTTTCGGTCTACAGCCGCTCGCCTGAACAGGCTCGGGCCACTTTCCCTTTGATCCCGCCCCAAGCCCGGGTAAACTCAAAGGAATGCGGAGCCGGGGCTCCCGGGAGAGGCGCGCGCGCGGGGAGAGGGCGGGGGC